ATCTCCATGCAAAAGACCAAGAAAACTCTGGTCAAAGGTGTGAACTTGTTCGACTGAGATTGAATCGCCTTGATTTTTTAAGGAACCTGAAGGAACCGGGAACAAACATTTGCAGAAATTCCTACCACGTGCAAATGGAGGAGGTTGGTTGACACATGATGACCAGCCCATTGTCCCACAATCTGGTCTAGGTTGGTCAGTTGCCCAACCACTTTCTTGCAGAGTTCGGCCCATCCCATAGACAACGCCCAAGTCTTCGGAGTTTGGCTGCCCGATCGTCGCGCGAGCGCTTTTCGTGCGCGGTCTGCACCTCTCGCTTCCGTCTCCGGCGCTTCACCCAAATGCGCACTCCGACGCCGCAGCACAGCAAAGGCACGAGGATGAGGCTGAACCAAAACCAGACCTTTTTGGCGCATTTGGGCGGTGTAAAAGAGTGTTTGTATTCAATGAGGCAAATGAATCAATAATAGATCAAGCAATTAAACAACATATAACACATATTTATGTATATATATATACAGATAGTAAACATATGTATGTACTTGGTCAAAAAGTATGCCCATCGCTGGTACAACTATATCTGATATATAAAAAGAAAGAAACGCCCATCTCTGGTAGTCTGCCCTAATCAAATGGGACTCTTGAGCACGATTCAGGTCTTTGTGTTTTTGTGCACTTTGGATGACGGATCATGTTTTACATCAGAACACGTTGACCGCTCCCTTCGAATACTGTATATTGTCGTCATCAAATAACATTGATGCAAACCCTAAGACCAACAAAAACCTACACCCTATATATATTATAATATGTTCGTAGTTTGTTGGTGGGGGGCCTGGTATCGGGTAATATATATATATATCCTCGAGATATCACCAGAAGGTCCAGGAGTTTGAAAAAGAAAAAACAAACATCGCTGCCAATCCCGGAAAAAAATAAACAAACACACACACACAAACAACTACGCTCCAAAAAGCATCCCAACACCCAAATCACCCACATCCAGGACACGGGAGGAGTCCAGGGCTTCACAGCGGCTGCTGGAGGTGCTGTGGTTGACCAGCGTGGGCCCTCTACGTGGATCCCTGGTGGGCCGATCAGGTGAAATCGGGACATGGACATGAGGGAAATGGAGATGGAAGTTTCATGGTATCGGATGGTATCTGGTCCGCCAGGTGAACCTCTAAGTTACATCCGAACCAAAACCTCGGAAGCTGGCAGCGGGCCAGCGAGAGGGCACGGATTGGCCAGGCATGCCAGGCATGGGTATGATTGTGTATGCGTTCGAACGTGTCCAAAGACTTTGATGAGTCTCCGCGTCTTTTCACTCAAAGTGCCTAACTGTGGCGCTTTCGCGAGAACAGCGGACGCATGCGGAGAACAGGACCCGAGGGACCAAAGAGGTGAAGTAACTTGTGACGACCAGTCAAGTATGAGGTCTGCGAGATACTCAGGTCTAACACAGCTTCACTTACAGCTTAGGCTAAGCTATGTTGATTCTTTTCAAGATCTTCCTTCCGCAACACATGGCTCTGAAACACATGGCTCCGCTGGTGCACATGTCTTACAAGTCTGGTGCAGGTCCTGGGGACCCTTCTGAAGTGCCTGCCATCTTCGTTCAACAACGATGCTGACCCTTGGCCCGATCCTCGACTTCCAACATACAAGTCAGAGCTCCCAGCGCTGAGTCCCCTGAAAAAATCAACGATGCTTCGGTGAACAATAGTATAGGCTGTGCCAAAATGATCTTTGGGTATAGCTCATGACTATGCATTTATTTATACCGACCCTGTTTGAAGCTGGACATTGGAACACAAAACAACACCTACAGGCATGTCATCCTGTCCCATGCTGCATGTGCGGCATCACCCGCCTCCACCATCGGGCACCACCACGATGTTATTGTGCGTGGTGGTTGGGATCAGCGCAATGGTCGTGGCGGTGGTGGTGTACAAGGTAGTCCGGGTCGTCGGCCTCGGACCACAGGCCGCCCCATGGAACGACTGACTGCCCTTCTGGAGCGACTGCCCAAGGCGAAATCGCCAGGTGGGCCATGGCTCTTTGGGCGATGACTTGAAGTCTTGTGGTTTGGCCCCAGGATGCCTTGATTCATGATTCCGATCCGGAATACATCAACATTATGGATCACATCAACCAAGTCGCGAAGACTGCAATTCTTTCGTCTCCAACGATTCAACGACCCATCGATGAAGCTTTGAGGATTCGCCCTCGGATTCGACCCTTCGGCAACGGATGGGGTTTGATCGACGCCGACGCATCCCGCTGATGGAGCCGGAAAGGCCAGCTAGACTACTACAAGTACTATATCCCTACGTACGTCCAGTCTGAGACTCGTCATTGCGGATTGTCCACATCTGCCCAAACCGACCACATCTGCCCCGCTGAGGGGCGGAAAGGTACTGGTTGCTGGCATCTGTCCAAAGATCGGCTGGAGATTGGCACACACACCATCCTGATGGGCTTTCTTACACTGACAAGTGTCAAAGCGAGGGATTTGAAGCATTTGCAAGTGGCCATCTCCGTCTTTTTTGACAAATGAACAGGAGATAACAGGAGTACAATCTGAAAGTGGATGTTTGTCTCACTTTGTCTACTCTCAAAACAATGTATTCGAGATCGCAGGAATTTGCAAGCAGCCTCAGACTCAGCCGACTCAGCCTCAGACTAGAGCTATACACATCTACCATGATATATGCCCGCTAACTCCTCAGGCAGCTTGTAGAGGACGTCGGTGACACCCTCCAGCAAATGCCTAGGGATCGGATGTGGAGGGATCGGACCAGAGTCTGGGAGCGGAGCGTGGGACGGGACAGATTCTATAGAACTCCGCCATAAATCCATGACTTCCAGTTTGGATTCACTCTCAACTAGTGAAGAAACCCGAGGTCACGGATAGAAACCAGTACGCTTGTCCACTTTCATGATTGTTGCGGGTCGGCCGTACTCTTTCTACTTCTTCACACCGGCAGCAGGCAGCTCAGGTGCCATGGTGGGCTACTGGTCGATGGAACGTTGATCTCGAAGAGGAGCCGAATCGTGGTTCCACTGTCAAGGTTCAAAAAGCGCGCCGTCGTGCCATCTCGCGCAGTGAGGATCCAAAAGCCTTCCACTGGCAAAAGGGCTCCGTGAACGATCCTCAGTTAAAACTGCAGGTGTGGCATGCCAGGAGGAAGACAAGTGGCAAGTGGTTCAATTCAAACGGGAGTGAATCAGCGAGATAAAAGATCATATCTGATGTGTATGTACTTGTTGAACGCACCTCTTAGATGAGAAGTACAGTATCCGGGAAGTTGCTATAAGGCTGCGTGGCAAATGCGCAAAACTCGAGGAAGCTAGGCAGGTGCTACCTGTACAGTCTTACCTCCAATTTTCAACACATATGGCATTATGTATATATATATATATCATTAAATTATGTCTATTTATTGGACGATCTTCTTTCGTGCATGTTCCATGCTCCTCGCACCATGGACGAGCTGAACTCCAAAACCACCCAGTCCCCTCCAAATGTCCCGTTCTCGTTCTCAGCCTCAAACATAGGGGGCACCGAACAGACCATGGTGGATCACCAGGGCTTAAAAAACCTTCTGGAAAGGTACTCAAATTCGTCCCCTCCTGGCACCCAGCCCCCAAACACCTCTACCGTTTCACGCATGGGTCCCACGCCAAGTCGGCGCGTGATGTGTCAGCAATTCGACCCCAAACGTGAAACAGCGCGGAAAACAGTCTGTTCACTCAAAACACTCCAACCTAATAGCAATGGCCTCCACCCTAGTAGCGATGGACTCCACCCTAGTAGCGATGGCCTCCACCCTAGTAGCGATGGCCTTCACCCTAATAGCAATGGCCTCCACCCTAGTAGCGATGGCCCGTCACACGTCGACACGTCCAAAAATGCAATCGAAGCGAAGCGGCTCGGGATGCTTCTCCACGAAGAGCTCCCCCAGGGAGGCATCGCAGCTGCGTCGCTGGTGTCGAGTGACGAAGGGCACGGAGGACTCCATGGTGGGCTCGACAGCCTGCCGTCGAACGTGTTGGTTGGTTGGTTGCTTGCTTGCTTGGTTGCTTGGTTGCTTGGTTGGTTGCTGGGTTGCTCGGTTGGTGGCTTGGTTGCTTGGTTGCTTGGTTGCTTGCTTGGTTGCTTGGTTGCTTGGTTGGTTGCTTGGTTGCTTGTGCTTGGTTGCTTGGATGCTTGCGTGGTTGCTTGATTGCTTGATCGCTTGCTTGCTTGGTTGGTTGGTTCGTTGGTTGGTGCCTTGCTTGCTTGCTTGGTTGCTTGGTTGGCTGGTTGGCTGGTTGGCTGGTTGGCTGGTTGGCTGGCTGGCTGGCTGGTTGGTTGGTTGGTTGGTTGGTTGGTTGGTTGATAGGTTAATTGGTTGCTTGGTTGATTGGTTGATTGATTGGTTGGTTGATTGCTTGGTTGATTGCTTGCTTGCTTGGTTGATTGCTTGCTTGCTTGCTTGCTTGCTTGCTTGGTCGCTTGCTTGCTTGGTTGGTTGCTTGCTTGCTTGGTTGCTTGGTTGGTTCGTTGGTCGGTGCCTTCCTTGCTTGCTTGCTTGCTTGGTTGGTTGGTTGGTTGGTTGTGATGTGATTGGTCGGTCGGTCGTTTGGTTGGTTGGTTGAGCTCCGCTTTGAAAGATGCTCTCAGAATTTGATCGATTCGAACAGGAAAGTCCCCCCCACAGTTCCCAGGGAAGCAAAGATATACCGAAAACCATTGGGTCAGGCATTGCAAATTCCCAAAGGCGGTAGGACTCATCGATTGGGCGCTCTGTCAATGTCATCGCACCAAACATAGAGTGAACCGTAGAACCATAGAGCCTAAACCTCCCCAGCCGCCCTATCCAGAAAACCCCAAATGAAGCAACTAATAACTATAACGCAGGTTTCTGCCTGTAAAACTGTCACATTTGTTAGTTTAAACCTATTTAGGAGGGTTGAGGCCACCGAACACCCCCAACCGGCCGGCCAGTCCCGGCCGTCTGGGTCACATCGAAGGCTCCGATGAGTCGCTTCAGCCGCAGCTCCACGTGGGGCTCCACCACCGCACCGCTGGGCGCTTCCCCCGTCTCCTCGCCCACGCTCAGCGGCGTCACCAGCTCGCTCGGCGACCTCGAGATAGACGCAAAAGCGAGCGCGAGGTGGGTAGGAATGGGTGGGGTGGCGCACCCAACCCAAAATGGATTAGCTATAATTAAACAAATATTGTATATATAGTATACATATGCCAGCAACATCCAGGAACAAGGACTTTTCAACTTCGTGAGTGCCAGTGCAGTGTTGAACATCTGGCTCCAAGGCGTTGTGACATGCATATCTCTGGAGGAAATGCATCTTCAGGGAAAACCATGCAATTAAAACCAAACCATGAGAGGACACTCAACTCTGGTCTCCTGGCTGAAAGATGCATAAATCACAAAGGCATAGTTCTGATCTTCATCGCGATCCTTCTGAGGATTTTCGTTCTGTGATCGAGGCCCCAAGCAGAACAAATCATTTCCCCACCGTGACAAGGCTGGTGAAAGTTTCAACAACTCTGCAGTCAGTGGTGGCTCTATCTATGCTGAGGATTGCGCTGAACAATTTGGTTTTCTATGTTTCCAAATCAACTATTTATCAGCAAACATTATCAACACTCCACAAACTCAACACCCCACAAGCATTTTTCATCCACAACTTGCACAGGAAAAGCCGGCTGGTTTGACCATTTGTGATTCAGCAGCCCACATTTCCCAGCATCAACAATTGTGCCGGGGCCTGCTATGTTTTGAATTGTTGAAGCCACATCATTGATCTGAGAAAGTACTTTTGGAATAGAGACTACTGTCGATATCTGCACTATCAACCTCATACATCCTCATCTCCTCTCCCTACACCATTCTGAGCCCCTCATCGACCTTCTCGTCCAAGGTACATCAAGAAGACCTTGGCTTCCGAGTGCATCATGAGGTGCGCTTTATTCTTAGGCACTTGGAGCCTGAAGACAGTGCTGCCGCTCTTCTTCAGGCCAGCATAGGTCACCGGATGTGAGGTGGCCGTGAGGTCAATGCGCATGTAGGCCTGGGCACCTGTGCGGTGCGCGACGTGCGGCACGCTGGGGTGGTGCAGTCAGTTGGACTGTGGGGCGAGTTAAGTCTTGGATTTGCGAAATGTATGAACAAAGAATATGAGGGCTCCAAGTACCTCCTCAAAAGGTATAGGTATGACTGGACCCTCTTGGCACCCACGGCGTTCCACTTGCTCAGTGGGACTTGGAGCCCTAGGGCATCGCTTGTTGATCGAAGAAGTCATGCAGTCGATTGGCGTTCAAAGCAACTCAAGGGTTTGGTCAATGACCAACTTCAGCCAGATGTTTCAAGTACTGATATGTATATATATATATAGCCCTCGTCATACACCCCTATATATGGCTATAGATATATGTTGGGTGTCTGTGGTTGGCCCCAAAGGATCGGATAGCTGATTCTTCTGGCTGTTGATATTTACAAGGAGCGCCAGTCGCAGAAACCGGGACTAAAACATGAATGGCTTTGCCCACCAAAAGCGGAGGCTACAAGTAGTCACTAGTCACTGACTGTGTCAGTCATTCCCCACATGGGCCAAGGTACCACTCGTGACCGCCAGCATTTCTGCCTCATCAATGGCACTCTGAAGCCTTGGAGCCGAAACACGGCATCCACCGATGATCCCACGGATGGCACTGCTCCACCGGAGCAGCCGAACGGTGAAGAACCCATTGGTGGAGCAGCCAGTCTTCAACACAAAATAACAGTGAAGGAGTCCTGTGAGTCCTCATGCTAGAAGCAGCAACACTATGTGGTCACATGTGTTGAAGCTGCCACGAGATCGTCCATCCGCTCGTCAAAAGTACCAGTATTCAACATTGAACAACCATGAACGGGGTAGCTTTACTATAAGTAAACATATTTATAACACATACATTACATTACATTACACATCATTTATGGAATATGATTATATAATATGATCATGCATGATCATGCAATGAACCGGCACGTCGACGTGTATTAAACAAATTGGGAGACCTCCAGTTCGACCCCCTGGAATGCTTGGAAAACAAATTAAATCCCATTGGGCCAGCGGGTCTTATGGCAGAACACTCTTAACCAATCAAAGTGATTGGAAACCCTCACAGGATTGGAAACACCAGTGCAAAACAAAGCAGTGTTGGGGATAATATGTTGCACAAACCTTCGCCCTTCCGGTTGGACTCCGAAGATGCAAGTAGTGACTTCCAAGGAGCCCCAAAGTCCTACCTCGACGCTCCATGTCTGGCATGTATACCTACATTGGGGTGGTTTGGTAGGTCAATGTAGGCATATATTACATGGAGTGTCTGGGTTAGAGCCTTGAGCTGTTGAACAAAATTGTTCATTGAGTTGGTCACTTGCCTGTGCCACAAGGCAACCCCATAGCCAGTGGGCTCACTTGCTGGCAAAGCTCATGCTTTGACCCTCCAATTCACAGATATTGACAGTATGTTTCCAGGTGGTGGCCGTGGATTGTGTACGTCAAAGGCGACTGGGGGGCTTGTTCTTCGCCGCCAAGTTGGCCATGAAGAAGGAGCCAGAGCCGCTCCCCGCATCCCTGGGAGAAGCCGGAGCAGTCTTGTGACCCGACCGTTCCGCAAAGATCGTTTTTCGCGAAATGGTGCGTCGAACAGTTTAAGGTCTACTTTGGTTTCTATAGTAGCTTCTTGTTCCTAGTAGCGATGCCAGGAGCCCCTAGTAGCGTCATTGCTCCTAGTAGTAAGGCCAGGAGCCCCTAGTAGCTTCTTGTTCCTAACTAACAAAAATATCACGGTTTCTGTTTGGTCATGATGTTTCGGTACACTCAGTTGCTATTCTTGCTGCTGTTGTGCAGTTGCCATGTTGCTTTTGGATGCCTCCTTTGGTCCAAGCCAATCTGGCAAAATGTTTGTCGCACATGTTGATTTTGCATGATTAATTCTGTGGCAAAAGCTTGAGATCCTTGAAAGCCTCCCGCATTCACCCATGGCAAACAATTGAATTGTAAGATCAAGTCTCCAGGAATACCCATCAAATGTCCTTCTACAAAACAAGCACATCTCGACTCGGCATCACACACCCAGCCACTCATACTGCCACTCTTCCAACTGCTTTGACCATCCACGGAAACATGAAAGTTTTCCATCACCTAGATGCTCATGGACCCTCATATGGAGGGATCGGACCTACAGTAAACCCTTCGAAGGGGTCTGAGGTCTCAAATCCCTTGGTTTTGAGTGTCCAAGAGCAGTTTCACGCTAGCTATATATAGTGCATTGACTTCTCCATTCGCCCTACCCCTTCAGTTGCGCGGTAGCTCATCAAACCAAGCAAAGCCCTTTATCAAAACAGGGTTGCTATATACTGACATACTTGCTTAGACATGTTCGGGAACGGAACCCGCAACCTGTGTAGGATTTTTAGGATGTCAACTTTGAACGTGAGTTCCTCCTCCCAAAACCGTTCCAAAACCCCTGCTTCTGCCACACACACCTGCTTCTGCCGACTGCTCATCATGCTTCGGGCCTCGCCTGGTGCTCCAAGGGCTCCAAGGCTGTCGCCAGCTCCAGCCTGCAGGGCCCAGGAAGTAGCCTGGATGAGACCGAATGGGCGAGACTGGAGAGAGACGGGGATGGGGGTTCACGTGATCTTGGAGACCTGCCCAAAAAAGGCTGGGTATGGCGATTCATCCCTTGTCTGGAGGTATATCCTTAACTGGACACGGTGCAAAGACCGATGTATACTTGGAAAGTCGTTCACGGCCACAATCCCTGCTTGTTCCCTGCTGCGGCAGTGCATTGGCTTGCACGCGATCGGCTCCCAATTTAAAGTGTTGCAAGTTTCAGCTCTTTCCATGTAGTCACCTCGCCCAACTATTCTCGGGTCCCTACTCCCACCTCCCGCCCAACTACTCTCACTTCACCCGAGCGTCCGTCATCACGCTGCTGCGCCACCCAGGCGGCCAAGGCTTCGATGCGCCCGAGGCGGCGCCGCGCCAGCAACGACGCCGAGCGCCGCGCGGCGTCCAGGGCGCTGCGCAGCTTGGAGAGTTCCTGGATGGGCGGACAGGTCGAGATGTGGGGGGGCCGAGGGCGGCAGGGGAAGATCGGTGATGGAGCTGAAAGAGCTTGGAAGCCATCGATTTTTTTCTCAATATCATCTACCTCCAGCTCCACTCCGGATGTAAGTGAGTGAACCAACATGACATAACATGACACAAATATGATCAAATCAGTGATAAACAACATGTTCATTCGAGGCAAACATGGTCATCGTGCCCCAGATACAACAGTGCCAATCGCCGATGCAAGCTGTCCCAAACACGCTTCCTTTCTTGGGCAAAACTTGTCCGTCCAAACAAACATCTTCCCAAACACCAAACCTGAACTCTGTGTTAGAGACCTGAACTCTGTGTTAGAGACTTCCGAACATCTTCCCAAACAAACATCTTCCAAAACACCAGCAAACCTCCCCTAGCTTCCGTGTTTTGAACAGTTGTACTCTCTTCCCCAAACTCCTGACGCTGGTATACCCTAGAACCTGAAAAGCTAGTCTTCCAGTCTGGTCCATGCCATCAGGTTCCATGTGGATCTCTTCCCAGGTGTATGGTCCAATGCTGGAGTCCGTCACTGCCCTTCACCCCTCCGCGCCTGCCAATGCCACAGCGATTCTGGCTGGTCGCTCACGATGGTGACCTGAGTACAGTTCCATCATGAAACAGCAGCCAAACAGGATTTCTTTTTTGATGAGTGATCCAGTCATTCTTTTTGCTTGGAGTTGATGAGACGACAACAACACCAACACCACCACCAACAACAGCAACAGCAACACCAACACAACCATCACAAACCATAGAAACACCACCAATGGATGCATCTTCTATAGTTAGAGACCTGAACTCTGCGATGGTCGAGACCTGGGTCGATCGGCCGGGGTTCTTTCTCACCGAAAGAGAGGTTCGACTGGGGTGTGGCTATGTCAACTACACTCCTCAGAACTTACGAGGAAGTAAATCTCGAGGACGCTGTTTACGAGGAAGTGGGTGCCCATGAAAATTCCCCGGGAATAGACCACAAACAGGTAAGCCCAACCAGCAAACGAAATAACGTTTCATATAGTATTGAAATGAGGGATTCGGTGTGGCAATGTCTTTAACGTTTGAGGGATTCACCCCCTCATTTCATAGAAAGAAATTGACATCTCCATGTGTTAGTGCTCTGAGTCTTCACAGTCCGCGCAAAAAAAAAAGGGGGTCCCATGTCGTTGTGGACGCTGTAAGTCAAGCGCGACGTGTCGGGCGATGTTCAACAGCGAGGTCGGGGTCCTCTTCTTGTTCCGTTCGTAGTAAGGCCAGGAGCCCAGGTTCGTAGCGTCCGAACGCTCCGTGCGTAGCGATGCCAGGAGCCCCTAGTAGAGTAGCTTCTTGTTCCGATGTCACGATCTAGCTGCGCAGGTCTACCGGCCACTTGCTCCGATGGCAAGACTTCGGTTGCGAAGGGAATCACGCCTTGCACTATGGAGCTATCACCCACCAACTCTTGGGAAGCATGATCGATAGTGTTCAACTGTTTTCCGGATCGCAACTGGCGACATGCGGTGTATGGTCCTATCACACCTGGCTGCTACATCCAGGTCGGCAATCACAAGGCCCCCCTTTTTTTCTGGGGCAGGCAAAGTATTAGGCCCCTCTGACAGCACATGACACCTTGTTCCCAAGCTCTTTGTAGCTCGCAAGAACAAATCTCTCAAGTCAGGATTTCTGCCTGTGGGCCATGTCAAGACAGCAAATGGATCTTGACTTCTATGTCTTCCATGTAATGGAGTTCTAGCATGCCCGAAGCCTCATTGCGCTCATTGGACCCTCAGTTTGCTAGAGTTTTGACCCTCACAGCTGTAGATGTTTGGACCAAAAGCACATGTAGCAGTTGGTTTCCGGTTGCTCAGGTCGCCGATCGAATCAGGTCACCGACGACGAACCTTTTCACGTCCGGATCAGTCTGGACCCAGCCTTTTAAGAGTGAATTTGAATGG